AAATGTACAAAAAAATTTTTATTTTTAAATAGTTTTAATAATTTTTACTTTTTCTCATTTGTGTGGTTTCAAAAAACTATATTATAAAAAAATCGGTGTGTGAAAATTCTTCTATAACTGTATAATTTTGATAACAGGTTTTGTCTATGCTCTAATAACTAACAAAAGTTCGTGTATTGGTTCAAACAAAGCTTTATTTTTCTGGAGCTTTTTAGTTATCGATGAAAATGTAGAGTAATAAATTACAATAAAACCATGAGTTTGAGAGCCTAGTCTCATGCCTTCAATGATTCATCTTGTACGATAATCTTTTGATAGAGTGAATGATGTTTAATGCATGCACTGTGAAAGTTATTACAGAGATGGGATTTTTATTATAATGCAATTCACAGATAACACGTTGGAATGAAAGGAATTAAGTGATATTTAAAAATGTATGAGTGGACAAAAATTTCAATGTATTTTAAAAGTACCCTTAATCGACTCAATAATATGAGAGAAATATTTTGTAGACTTTAAACTAAAACAAAAAAAGATACTTTACACATTACAACTGTTTACATCTTTACTAGATGAGAAAAAATTATGTTTTTGTTATATCGGAATATTTGAAATTTTAGTATAAATAGTAGCAGCGTCTGAAAATTACGTTTCTGTTCACACATACTTTCTACTTTCCTCGCGAGATTCACATGTTTACTGAAAGCTGGCCGTTTCATCTCGTGTCCTTTCGAATCGCCCCAGGCGACACTTCAAGTCCGTTAATATAACAGAAAACTTTTGAAACACAGCTATACTCATACAAAATGAATTAAAAAAAAATTTTCCAACTAATATTTGTTCCGTAATATTTTGTTTTCAAATTCATAGCTGATTTTGTAAGATATAAAATTATAAATAGCAATAGCTGAGGGCAAGAACATGTATCACTTAAACATTTGATATTAAAATTGTGTTATCTTGAAAGGTTTCAGAAAAACCTGCAATTTAAAATAATGGTAAAACCGTGTTGTCTCTAAAACTTTTGGTATATGTGTTATTTTCAAATATTTTTTTGAAAACAATACAAAACATGGTTCGAATACGTTTAAAAGATGTTACCAGAGCTTAAAAAATTTTTGAGTCGACAAATAATTTTATACTAATATTTAGATGTGATGTTGAATAAAAATGTCATTGGATAATATGTTTTATGAATAAAATTTGGAGATGACGTGTACTTAAAATTAATGCACGTTTTTAAAAACAATTTTCAAATGAAATACTTTTTCTATATTATTTGAAGATGACATTGTCTTTAAATAAATTTTCCAAAATATGTTGTCCAATCAGTTATCTATATAGACTCTGTTTGGACCTATACATATATATATATATATAGGTACGCACCTCAACTAAAGTTTCGGTACCAATCACAACCTGAACTCACCGAGGTTACTGTCCAATGTAATTTTTTAAGTGTATATATCCAACGGAAAGGGCATGGTGTTTCTCCATATCCGTAGCAACAAAATTTTAATACACTCGTATAAATTGAGCACAAGAATTGTATTTAAAATCACGCATATAGGTTAGTAAAATCGGTATCAAAAATCAAAGTCCGGCTTTTTATTTATGCTTTTGAATCGTTTTCAGTATCAGAAACGCAAACCTTATAACCGTCTCCAAATACCGATTTTTCCTAATCCACATCGGTGTATAAGTATATAACTTAAAAAAAATTAGTTAAGCAATGAGAGAAGTAACCTTACAGACGTTCGACCGGCAAAACTGTAGTAGGTACCATTTCAAGTTCTCGAAGGAGCGCGCATGTAGGTAAGCCAAGAAGAAGGAAACAACCGCGTCGGATTTCCCTACCCTATACCGATCTATTCAACGATATTTTTCTGTATTCTATAATTTACTTTGACTAAGAACTAAAAAAAGTGCAGATAACAAATTATGGCAGAGCGCTTTTTGGTCAACACGTGTCCATTTGTTGATGATCCCTCCCGATCGCTTGACGTAACAGCTGGTCCTCAAAAACCCACCGATCCCTTCGTTGGCGACGATTTCTCGCACAGAAAGAGAGAGGGAATGATCGGTCAATGATCGGGCTTACGTTACACAAGGCGGTCAATAAAAACGGGGACAAGTGTGCGTGACTGTGTATAGGTGGTTGAAAAAACTCGTTCCTCTTTTCTTACCGGTCGTAGTCTGCGTCGTCGCGTTTCCGGGACTGATCTGCGCGCTGTTGGCACCCATCAGCAGCAGCAACAGCGTCGGGCAGACGAGTGCCAGGCCAAGCCGTCCTTGCCACTGCATTCTCCGGCCCGTCATTCCGACTTCATTATACGATTACCTCAATCAAACCAGAAACAAAAAAAAAAAAAAAACAAAAAAAAAACCAACTACAAAACTTCCCCCCTATTTTTTGGGTTTTAACACTTTATAAGAATACACTGGGTTGCACTGGTGTCTCGACAGCAATGATATATAAATCTCGGGCGACTGGAGACTTGAACGGGAGGCGCGCGGTATTTCCTTCGCGTAGCTTATTCCCGTCACTCGCGATTTCCAGCTGCTGCACTACCGATCCCAACCGGTGGCATGTCTCCAGCGCTCGGCCGCGTCATCCGCAAGTCGAGCCGAGAAAGAGAAAGGGGAGCCAGGTCATGACTGGTCCTCGGTCCTTTGGTCAGGCACCTCGAATTCCTGTGGTTCTCGTCAAAATGTAGGTATTGGAAAGAAGAAGAAAAAAAAAACAAACAAAAAAACACCACCATACAAATTCAACTGATTGAACCGATTGAAGAGGGGAAGAAAAAAAAAAGAAAAAAAGGACAACAAATAGGACACGAGGTAGCAAAACACAGAAAAACTACTGTATTGTGGCTCGATAAAAGCAATGGACAAACAGACGGAACGCACGGCTCCTCGGCTCAGGAGAGAGTGCCAAGGGGGGAGTAGCAGCAGCCCGTGGCCTGGCGAACCTGCTGCCGCCACCGTCGCTGCTGTGTGTGCCTTGTATATGCACACTCTCGGCAACGCAGCGCCGCTCACCTGGGGACTCTCCTACACCTTTCTTAGGTTCTCTTCCTTCGCTAGTTTGCTCGTTGCCTATGGTCACCGCTCGGCCTTTCTTCCCCCCTCCCCCCTTCTCCTGTTCTTCACGACCCAGCCGATGTACTTACCTGTGTGTTGGCTGCGTGAGGCTTTCCATCGAGCTCTCCGAGATCTCTGCTCCTGGCCAAGTGAGAGAGAGAGGGGGCCTTGGCCACGGGGTATTTTCTTTCGAGGGTCGATATTACGAGGATTATCTAAGAAAACCTCAGAACTTGTCGATCGAGCCTTACGGAATTCATGCTATACTAATGTACCTTTTGGTAACAGACTCATGATTTTGGGTGGGGATTTTCGTCAAATTTTTTTCGGTTGTAAGAAATATTTAAAAAATTATAGTTGTAGGGTATTGGAGAAGATAACCATTTTTTTCTACTTTTGGCCCCATCTGGAAATTTTACGATTCAAAGCCTACGTTCGTTCAGTGAGAAAAAAGATATCTTGCACTTTATTGTTAGAAATCGGCAAAGTAAAATCAAATCATTCAAAATTTCAGAAAGTGGGAAACAAATGATAGATGTTTGGAAATTTCTTATGATTTTGATGATTGTGTGGTTAGTAGAGAATGACCCATAGTTATTAATGTATGAATGCGTATTTATAACTAATAGGATTTCAAATTCAATGAATAGAGAGTACAGCTTATCTCAGAGAATACTTCCGTCCCAGGGAAGAAAGTCGTTAAGTGCACTTTCTTCAGAACTGAACAAATCGAAAAAAACTAATTGTTTTCAAAATATGATAAAAATGGAATATTTTAACCGCAGAAACGATGATTCTGGGGTAAACAAGGCACGATCTTTGCATTGATCACCAAAAAAACTCGATTTTCTTATGGAAAATTTGAAAAACTGTACTCACGCCTTTTGCTCGGCTTAATTTCCTTCGAAAGAAAGGCGTTACGTGCACTTGATAACTTTTTTGGCTGCAAAGACCCCCTGGATACCATTGCGTTTACAAATCACACTTCTAGTCGTCATCTGCTCTGCACTTACGGCCTTTTTTCTTTGTAAGCAAAGCCCCAGCTCATGCTACTTCCAGAGCAAAAACCTCCTTAAGTACATAACGACTTTTTATTTTGGAATCAATGCGCTTTCTTGTTGACGCAAATTCCAAATTTCATGTCACTTACGCCCTTTTTTTGGTGTCAGATCAAAGTTTTTCCTAACTGTAGTAACAGTCAATAAACTATTACAAATAATTGAAAAACTTAATTAAAATAACGTCCAATGGTGGTACTGTCAAATTTTGTATTTATTGAAAAACAAAACGACGTTTTGGCCGTTTGGACAATGTCCCGGCCCTCATCAGGTACAAAAATCTATGAGTAATAAAAAATTCTTTACAATACAAATTTTGATAAATACAATAAATGCAAATTAAGTAAAGTGTATAATATACCTCTGACTCTTACGAAGGGGATGTAAAATCGTAATGTAGTTAGAGTTTCAAGTTTTGTTGCTTTTATATCCTGTACATATACAAATGACACAATATACGCACACAATACAGTCAAATAAGAATCGCAAGCAGTTCCTTGTGAGACATACTTACGTAAACAGATCATGTTTTCCTAATACCATAAATGAAAGGGGCCCTCAAATTATGTACATCAAGTTAGCCTCCTTTCTTAATTGACTTAACGAGAGACTTGTAACAATTTTTCAATTTTTCTGTATCATGTTGTCTATTAATATTATTATTGAAACAATGTATATTTAACATTTCGGAAAACAGGCGCTTTTCATAATTTTGTTCTGTGTCTAAAATTTTTATTTTATCGAAATTAAAGTTGTGTGTAAATTCAATGCTATGTTGTGATAGTACAGATGTATCCTTTTTTTTCTCTATGTCTCTTTTATGTTCTGCCATTCTTAATTTTAAAGCTCTCAATGTTTGACCGACATAACAGCAGTTGCAATTCGCACATGGTATATGGTAAACGACATTACTTTTATCGAGTGGCTCGGTTACATCTTTGCGAAGTGAAGAAAAGATCGAATACAATTTATTGTTTAAACTGTATACAAGACCAATGTGAAGCTTCTTACAAAAATATTTGATAGGACCGTGCAATTTACTTAATTTGCGTTTATTGTATTTATCAAAATTTGTATTGTAAAGAATTTTTTATTACTCATAGATTTTTGTACCTAATGAGGGCCGGGACATTGTTCAAACGGCCGAAACATCGTTTTGTTTTTCAATAAATACAAAATTTGACAGTACCACCATTGGACGTTATTTTAATTATTAACCAACTGTCATTGGACGTCTTATAATATTAATTGAAAAACTGTTCATGATTTTTATAAACACAGTTAGAAGGACACCGATTTTAACGGTTTTAACTCGTCTAACGTTTTTTTTTTTCTTCTTTTTAACATTTCATTTGTTGTATGAGGACTGACATTTATTTAAATTATAAATATTTATTTGAAAACAGTAATTAGTGTATATATAAATAAATATACCGAAATAAATATTTTTACTACAAATTGGAAACATTTTAAAATAAATCTGTATTGCAATATGATAAAAATAAAAACACATACAGCCCATAAATGTTGCGATTGTTTATAACATTTATTAAACGTCATCGTCGTTGTCATCATTGATTACACCGTCATCTTCGCTTTCAAATTCTTTATTTGGTTCTAAATTGTCTGGTACGCTGCAAGCAAGCACGATTTCGTCGATGGTCTTGTCGTAGTGAATATGTCTCTTTAGATGCAACTTTCTGATCGTCAGGTAATAACTCAAAAGTAGTGTACACGTTGCACAAATCTTTTTTAGGTTCATGAAAATATAATTTGTAATCTGTGTTAAAAATTGTTCTGTAACGGATTTCAGCAGCAATATTTTCTTCTTTTTTTTCATTCTATACATTTCGATTTATATACGATTCCCAGCCTGTTATTAAACTTTTCACGCTCCTGTTTAATTTTGATTGCGGTTAACCACTTTGGGCTTATGGGCTTATGCTTGTTATAAAAAAATATAGACTCCAAGATTCTTACTATTTAATGAAAATTATTATAAACTCAGATTAATCGTATCAATTTTTGTCGCAACTCGCCAAACATTTGATAGAACATTTTTCTACACAGATGCACTTTCTTGAAGGGAGTGATAAAAAAAGTTCATACCCTTACAAGTGTTGTCTGAAATTATACCAGCGTAGATTAAACTTGTTGTTTTTTCCCCCATCATGCAGGTGAGGTACTCCTACTGCTATGTATGGTCTACGAGTTGCCAAAATTCCGTAAATAAAAATTCTGGTTCATTGGATGAAATATTTTTGTTGTACTGAATTTACGCATCCAGTACCCAAGGACCATGCTTTTATAGGAAAACCTTGAGCGGAAATACCATCCATACCACTATTTTTCGCTCTCTTGATGATGGACACAGTTTTACATTTTGAGTAGTTTCTTTTTCTTCTCCTGCTTTGCTTTATCTATCATGTAAAACATGTGAAAATTATTTTTGTCAGTACTTTAGATGAATGGAAATGTATTTTTATTGTTCGTTAGTTCCTCTTCTAAACTAATATATTCTGCAAGCGTTGATTCTTTCATAGAATAATCAAAAGTAGTCTCGAAATCTGAATGAAGTATTTCATATACGAGTGTAAAAAAATAGTTTCTTAGTTATAATACAACAGTTTAAATTGAGTGCAACTGAGGTTTGTACAAATGCTATCTCAGCTAATTATAAAATAAGGTATGAAACATATCTATTATTTTACTCACTTTAATACGAACCGTACGGCACACCACCTCATTACCTGACTGTAAACACCAGAAAGTACATACGTATCTGTATTATAAACCGTTTTTTATATATTTATAAAATTAATGAAAATGAATTGACAGTATAATAAATATAAATTGAGAATTAACACTCCATTGTGACACTTTTTTTATTAAAAAAAAAAAACATAAATCTGAATACTACAGTAATCTGCACTAGAAACAGAAGAAATAAGTTTATATTTCAAGAGATGAATACAGATTGACGTAGCAAAGCTCCAATCGAACTAATATCAGGTGGCAAGACTATCGATAACAATCAATCACTGATAATGTTTAAGACGAGTAGTTGTCCTACAGCCTGCTCTTCGTGTACTCTTATACATTTTATTCGTGGAAACAACGTAAGCAAAAGTAAGATGAGAAACTTTGAAAATCGTGATGTAAATAATTCTGAATATTTCCAATATTTGTAAGCCATAATTCTAAATTTAAAAATGCAACACAAAAATAAATTAACCAGTAATCACTAATTTTATGTTATACCCGTAAGGTTGATTATAAAAATAATAAATAAAGTATTTATATAACTTATCCACATCTTAAATTAAATATTATTTTTTTGTTAGTGATAATGGTTACATAAATTATTATCACAACTGTTATTAAAAAAATTTGAATGCTCCAGTTTTATATCTTAGTATTTTATTAGAAAATATTAACAGCTGCTTGCTGGATTCGCGTAAACTTAAGTGATTCGAAAAACTTGATATATTTTTTACATCTTTGATCCCTTATAGCGCAGGCATATTCTTGAATAAGCTCCTACGTAAATGAAGTCATTGATTTAATTGTTAGTGCTTAGAATATGATCAGCAGCAGTGCTTTCAAAAGTGGCTCCAGACCTTTGCGAAATTCAAACGTGTACTTTAACCCAAGCTCGTTAACCCCATAACCCTATAATATTAGAGCCTTCAACCCGATAACCCCATGATCCCAGAGCCTTCAACCCCATAACCCCATGATCCCAGATCTTTTAACCCCATTACCTCATAGGTCCCGAAGCATTTAACCACATAAATCGGTAACCGCAGAGTCTTTTATCATATAACATAGGAAAAATGCATGTATCACTGATCATGGAATTTATAAACTCCGAGGTTACCGTGTTATGGGGTTAAAGGCTTCTGCATTTATGGGGTAATGAAGTTAAAGGTTATGGGATTACAGTGTTATGGGGTTACAGGGCTTGGGTTCAAGTATATTTTTGAATTCCCCGGGTGTTTGAAATGTAGCCACTTTTGAGAGCTCTGATCAACAGTCAAGGCTGATTTTATGGCAGTTTTCCGTTTCGGTTACCATCAGTTGGTTTTCATAACACGTGATATGTTTATTATTGCGGGTGTTTTCCGCAATCGTCACAAGAAAGTAATTAAAGGTTGCGCTCTACGTTACCGTCAGGTCGGTAAGTCAACTACCTTGAATTAAACTGGCGCTCTATTCCGTAATCAGTTAAAACAGCAGACGACATTCAACAGCGATGAAATCTTCACTTTTTTCTCGACTTTCACGTCGTCTGCTGTTTTAACTGGCCAGATTACGGAATAGAGCGCCAGTTTAATTCAAGGTAGTTGACTTACCGACCTGACGGTAACGTAGAGTGCAACCCACTATTACTTGGGGTGTTTTCCGCAATCGTCACCAGCAAGTAATTTAAGGTTGCGCTCTACGTTACCGTCAGGTTGGTAAGTCAACTACCTTGAATTAAACTGGCGCTCTATTCCGTAATCTGGCCAGTTAAGACAGCAGACGACGTGAAAGTCGAGGAAAAAGTGAAGATTTCATCGCTGTTGACTGTCGTCTGCTATTTTAACTGGTCAGATTACGGAACAGAGCGCCAGTTAATTCAAGGTAGTTGACTTACCGACCTGACGGTAACGTAGAGCGCAACCCACTATTACATGATGGTGACGATTGCGGAAAACACCCATTATTTCATCATTGTTTGCAAGTTGCCAGCAGATGTTCAAGTAGAAACTGTGATGGCATGGCTATTTCAGATAAATACCAGCAGTCGATAAATGAATGTAACTTTAGTGCACTACATTAACGCTATGAGGGCAATCTGTTTGATCAGCGCTCCGAACTCCAAAATCTGCCAAAGTGCCAAACAAACAATAATAACACGCATTACGAGAATAAGACCAACGAGATACTTTAAGACTTGGAGAAGGAAGGACGGACCGTCAAAACGCGAATTCGGCTATCTCACATGAGTAAACAAAAAAAACTCAGTATATAGTAAGAAGAGAAACAGGAGGTATAAAGCGAGAAAGAGAGAGGCTTACTAGTCAACAGAGAGATATTGCAAGGGAAGCTGAGCTGTACTCGTACCATATATAGTTATTGTGAGTGTGATAATTGAGAATGTCATGTGACCGGGGACGTTTAAAGGCATTGTATAGGTAGCGGTTTTTTGGCTGAGCAATAACAAAACCCTCGCCAACCTTGGCTACCGCCGCATGCCTGCTTTACTCTTCCCTCATTGTTGGAGATGTTGGTCTCTCGTAATATTTCTCTTTGCGTTTGAACGAAGCACAGAGGACAGACAGGTCGTCCCCTATCAGAGCAAGCATTTCTTCCTGCTGTTCGCCACTGTATTTCTGTAATCTGCTGAAGAGAAAAGGCACTACTGACTTTTTTTTACTTGGAAGTTCACTTTACGTCTATATTAATACTCTTGCAGTCATTTGGAGTGACAGAGAAGATGCTCGAGGTCGATGACAGAAAGGTAAGCTTGTACTTACTCAGCTTTTCTGAATACATACGTTCACATGCTGCTGCAATCACCCAACACTCGCTCTAAAACTCTTTGCTCTTGCTTATCTATTTTTTCTTCTGATAATCAATGACGGGAAACAAGTACTGTTGGCCTATCAGTTAATGAAGCGCACACGACTGACATCACTGGGTTTTAAGGTTAAAGCGCAACGACCATTTTTTGACCCTGTCTACTATAATTATATATTTCTCCATGTGTTCTGTGTAATATTGGGAGTGGATCTGTGTATGAGTTGTGCGTTAGTATTAGAGAAAAGAGGAAAGTGTCAATGGTAGGGTAGGGTGGGGCAATCGGAACGGCGGGGTAATCGGGGATGTTCTGGAAATATTTTTGTAAATTTATCCAATTGTAAAAAAAAATATATTTTTGAAAGGTCCTGGCTCTAACTCGTTTTTTTTTACATTTGAATATAGCAACAAAAAACCATATTTTCCGAATGAAAACAACGAACAAAACCTTTTAGTCGAAAAAAATGGTTTTCAAATCAGTTTTATCGTATAATAAATGTTTGAAAAAATCTA